GGGCGGCAGGGAGGAGGGGCAACAGGCAACCAGTGGAGCGGCTGGTGGAGTGGAAGAAGACAGCTGTTGGAGCATGGTGGAGTGGCTCGTGGTAAAGGCTGCAGCAGAACCATATAAAGAGGTGGGGCCGTCAGCATCGGACCACGTAAGGTGCCCCTATCAGCCCCCCTGCCTCCTTTCCACCCAGGCTGGGAGGTAGAACCCTGCAGGCGAACTTTTGAACTCTGGGCAGCACTGACCAGGAACAGAGACTTTTGGGGTGTCAGACTCTGGGAGATTTTGGGATGCTGGACTCCAGAGACTCTTGGGGTGTTGGACTTTGCCCATGGTTTGGGCTATGAGCTCTGTTTGTGGTATTTTCCCAAGTTAATGCCATGTGACTTTTCTCTCTATTTCATTAAATGTTTCTTTTCTACACTCAGGTACTCTGTGCTTGCGAGTGGGGAAGCATTGCCTCTGAGGCACCCATGAGTGTGTGAATTTCCCAGGCTACTGGGTGGGGGCTCAAGCCAGTTCTGTGTGAGATGGACCCTTAGATATTGAACCCAGCCCTGGTTGCTGCCGGGCCTACCCAGCAGAAGGGTTACAATAATAAGTTTTTATATCATTTCCGTCAAGTTAATGTGTCAGGGTTTTTGCATTTATAAATAGGCTTCATTAAAGAAGGGTTCTACTTTGAAAATGTACTCTCTAAAAAGGGCACCAAGTGGGGGGAGCACACTGATTGTTTCTCAGTGATGCCAGATAACTTCCGAAAACGTTTACAAGTAAAAGCATGTATGTTCATTTTCCTCTTTGTGTGGGTATGTTTAACCTCTGTTAGAACAGACCAGTCAAGATGGATTCTTATTGGCTCATGCATCACCAATAACAACTAGATTTTAAATGTAGAATCTTTAACAATGATTGTGTATCTTGTGTGAGCTAGACCAGAATGCAACTCATTGTCTCAGAACTATATTGACTTTGCAGCTCTAATGGGAATAAAAAGCTATAAAAACAGTGTCAAGTAAGGAGCTATAACTGAATAAACTGAGGGAGTAAGTCTAATTCATAAAAAAAATGCCTTTTGTACATAGTTATTTTCCAAAGAATTTCAAAAGCTTTAAAATTTATACTTTAAAAGCTACAGCAAGCGGATAGTCTATCATCATGCTCAAATAACTTCCTAAGCACATCAGTCATTTTCCACTCTGAGTTCAGTTCAGAATTAAGATAGTATTGAATATATTCCTTATGCAAATGGGTTCTGAAGGCTCTGTTAAGATCCACATTGTTCATTTTAGTGTTTCAAGGCAGAATTTGGCTTTGACAGCAATTTTGCATTTGATTGTACTCAATCCTTGTGAGGTCTTCTCACAAGATTTCTGCTTAAGAATCTGATCTGAAAATGAAGACTTTGGGAGTGAATTTGTGTACAGGAATTTGGATCAGAGGTCCTTCATCCTCTACATTTCAAAAGGTTTATATTCAAGGTTACAGTTTTGTGCCATCTCTTCTAACATAAAGAGAAAATGAAGTAATGTACCAATTGTGCCTGAGTGAGGTATTTCTTCCACCACAGATACTTGCGCATAGAAGGAATGACAGACAATCCATAGTAGGAGTACATGAGAACATGGATAAAACTGTTCAAAGTGGGACCAAAGAAACCTGTAAGAATCCAACCAGGAAAACATTTTATATAGCACTACAAGTAGAGGTGAGATGAAGGACTTTCTACTGGGAAACATCCTTAACATTTACAAGGTGCTGTTTTTAATAATCTACAAGTTGTCTCTCTAGCATACTGCCACTGCACCCAGTAATAATCATCTCTACTCTTTTTTTTCTCATTTCTGGTCAGGGTACTCGGGACTTGCATTGGATTCTACAGGTGAGATTACTGTCCTTTCCCCTCCCTATGGCTGTGGAGTTCTGTGCCGGTCTACCCCAGTTTGATCACTTGTGCCACTCCTTCCCTGACAGGGCTGCCGAGCTTGATTCTGTAACACTAAAGGGGTTGCGCAAGGGCTACTCACAAGCCATGGCACGGGGCATACAGCACTTGGGGTGTTGTCACACGAACTGAGGAGAGTGGCACTAGTGTAATTTTTTTTCCTGCTCGTCCTGGGTTTGTCATGCAGCAGTATCTGTGTACCATGTAGGCTGACCTACCCTCACTCCCTCAGTGCAAACTAAGGCAACAAGAAGGGAATTAACTGTGCTCTGAGCATACTCTAAGTTTAGGATAGGACCTAGCAATCCTCTAACTTGCTGGACCTCATTCCCCTTCCAGAGCTGGGGCAAAGACATCTTAGTTCTGTTTGTACAGGGCCTAGCACAGTGGAGTTGTGATCAATGACTAAGACACCAAAGGGCAAGTGACACACACATTGTAATAGGCTCCTCTTTGGCTTCAAAGCTGCCCTTATTTTAACAAGTCTGACTGAAAGTTTGTAGTTTACTTTACTCTGTGGCTTCCTTTCTGCCTTCTTCCTTTTTATTTTCTAGATTTCAGGCCATGCCTTCTTTGTTCTAAAAATCCTTTGTTGATCTTTTCATTCTCTCTAAGCTCTGTGTGCTCAGCTATTTATATTATCATGTTGCCATAAACAGCAGCCTAGTGCCTGGGGAGGTAAAAGAACATGCACAATTCCCATTGCTAAACACAGCGGTGAGAACTTCACTCTTTGTGCCTGAGTACAATTCGTTTACTCTAGGGCAAATTCTGTGGCTCTAATTGAGGAAAATCTTTAGACTTCAATGAGTGCTTTGCTTGCTGAAGGACTCCTGAATTTTGTATAGATTGACATAACTTTCCCTTCTGAGGGATGTGGGAACCAAAGCTTAAAAACAAAGTTAAAATATTAATTTTCTTTTCAACTTAGATGACAAGGCTACAGGAAAAATTCACTCCATTTCTCCAGTGACAAAATTGTACTAGAAACAATTCTCCACTTTAAGCCAGAATGCAGAGAGCAGTCTCTAACTAGCATTAGATACCTTGGGTATTGGAGGAGACAGTGAGAGTGACAATTTCCAGTCAAGATGAATGTGATCTGATAATAGCAAATTTCACAATATAATTATTATTCCTGACTTGATGTGCAGAGAGAGGGGGAAGGCCAATTTTCTGTCACACAGACATCTGGTTTCACTTGGATAAAATGCATGTTACTCTGCATCCCTGTGACTTGCTGCCACCTATGCATTCAAATCTCAGAACTTCAAAATGAGACTTTAACATGAACCAAATTCATGAATGTAGAATTGGTTATTCAAAGAAAGGAGTGTTTTTAAGGCACAGTGAATGTGTTACATTTATACTGCCAAGTACAGGGTGTAGTTTTCCATCAGTTTTACAACAGTGTCACTCCATTACACTTCAGTAGAGTTAATTCTCATTTACTTGTGTGCAACTGCGAACAAACGTAATACCATGCTTTGCTAATAGCCCCGGCCTTATGTGAGGTTAAGGTTGAATCCTCTTCCCATTGAAATGGATGGGAATTTTGCTACTGCCTTTAAGGGGACAGGTCACAGGCAGTGAATTTTTGTTTGCCTGCCCATGCTTTATACTATAATACCCCGGACTAAATCATGGCATTACTCATCACTGTTATATCTGAGCCTATGGAATAGTTTGGTGGCCTGATAGTGATTCTGAGCCCTCACAATTCTAATAGGAGCAGCAGGTGTTCGCCACCTTTAAAAATAAACCCATATGACAATATACTCCCCTTGATTTTGTGGGTATTTGTGAATAATTCTGCAAGTAGCTAATATTGCTAGTAACATGCTTTGCCATGCATAGCTGTGTGCAAATTCTCTACAGCTAGAGGTGATTACAGCTCCTTTACATACCACTGAGAAAATAAATCAAAACACTTACTTTGTCCACAAGGTATCCAGTTCAGAACACACCACCAAATGTTAAACATAGTGGCATGATGATATACATGAAGGAAAGTAATTTGACTATTTTTCTTCCTCAGTACAAAGAAAATAGTGTCTGTGAATTCAATTGCTTTGGAAAAATAATACCACCACAACACCTTGGCCACCTGTATGAGAGAGAGAAATAAAGGGCTGTTTGTTTACTAGGTGAGAGAGTTGACCGAGGCCAGGTCTACACTGAAGGGGAAGGTGGAATTAAGGTATACAACTCCAGCTACATTAGTAACATAGTTTGCGTCTACGTTTGAGTTTCTATGCCATCTCCACAGAGGGAGGCTGATGGAAGCAAATGTTGCCATTTGCTTCCCTTACTCCTCATGAGGAGTAGAAATAGTGGTGCGGATGGGGGTGCCCTTTGAGTTCGATTTTGCGGGTCTGTCCCAGACACGCTAAATCGAACTCCAGAAGATTGATCAAGCCAGCATCAATCTTCCACTTAGTGAAGATGTGACCTGAGAATTTGGAACAGTCAAGGACAAAACATTTGAATTTAAGGTGTGTAAGACTAGAGATGAGCCAAAGTTGCAAAATATGGTTCAAACATTCCCCAAGTTCAGGTTGGTTCAGGCTCTAGTTTGGACCTACAAGAAATTAAATGTGCATGGACAATTTCATCGTTGGTTTTTAAATAAATGATGATTTCCTTAGAAAATATTTCCATTTTGTACTGGCATCTCTTCTGATAATGCAGTGCCAAATGAGTCAGAAATATTGGACATAGGCTTTTGTAACAGCCTTTCCAGAAGAAAAATGTACCTCTCACAATGTTCTCTATACTGGGGAATGAGGACACTTGCAACCTGGATCAGCATCTATATACATCCCACTCTATAGCAACCTGACATAAGATCATTTGAAAAAATCCTAATGCTAAAACCTAAATAGGCCAGTGATGCAAGGGAATTGTACCACAGCATATTGTAGGAATAGACCATTATATCTTTTAGTTACTGAGTTGATGTTTCTGCCTCACCCGGATATCAGCTTCTCCTGCGCTGACAAGGTTCTGACACTGTAAGTTATAGCCGCCTTCCCAGCTGGAGAGAATAAGCTAGAACAAAACACACACAGAAAATCACTCAACAAAAGTATTCATTCATATCCCCCTGTGCTTCCGTTCAGCGTTTCAGTGGAAATGGCCCAGAATTTGTGCCACTGCCGATTCATCCCACGAACAGATGCTATTGAAACAGTCTATTTGCATATATGAAAATAGGATTCTGTTCTAGAATTAAAAGGTTAGAAGGTGGTGATGGAAATGCACAATGCAACAAACTCTTTGCTGAATTTGAAAGTTCAAACCTATTATAAGTTATCTTTAACAGGAGTTTGAAACCTGCAATTCTTTAAGAAATCATGTGCATTTTTTGTAGAGAGCCTATGTTTTGAAGGGAGCTCTTTTATCTGACTCGTGCAGGGCACTAGGAGAAGTGTTAAACAGATTACCGGTGCAGCCAATATCCTTCCCTGTTCTTCCAAACACACTAAAACTGTGTTTGTGCTGGGGGAAGACGGAGAGGATGTATGTTTTCCCTCTCTCTCTCTCTCTTTATCCAATGAGAAGAGAAAACATATTATATTGAATGAAGTGGCAAAGAGCCTTCAAATAATTCCACAGGAGTACCCTAATGCTGCACTAAGGTTGTATGTGAATTTGTGATGAGTTTAAGATCATGCAACACTACAAAACAAATTTAACAATGCAAAGAGTGTCACTGGTGATTATTTTGTGGGTTTGAAAGTCCACACCAGGGAAAGTGAGTGGATCTCTGTCAAAACTAAGGGTACATCTAGACTACATCTGTTTGTTGGAAAAAGCTACTCAAAATGTGTTCCACATTTTGAGTAGCTTTTTCCAATACTTTAGTTTACTTTTGTTCTGTTAGATGGGGCCAAACGGTGGAAAAGCCTCCTCTTTCGGAGGAGCCCTTATTCCTCGTAGAACAAGGTATACAGGGCTCCCTGAAAGAGCGCGTTTGCTCTTCTGCAAAAAAAGCGGAAGAACAAACACGTTCCCTGGACGCAGGGAAGTTTTTTGGGACATGTCTGGTATCCCGAACCCCCCCTGCAGTTTAGCCAATTCCTAAGACTAGACAAACCTACTCAGGCTGAAACACCTCTTTATGGAGATACAGCCACCTACAGACGCTTGCATATACTGGATTTTCAAGAGACTGTCAAAGCAAAGACTTTTGGATAAATGAGCTGAATTTAAACTGATTTAAGGCCTTCCTTCCAAAGGAGGGAGTCCAATTCTTTTGGAACGACTGTTGCTGACCAGAGCCCTTGTTGGTTTTGGTGGAGTGATCTCTGGTAAGCTTACTACATCCATATAGAACCTTCTATTGTTCTTATTATGTTTGCTCTGTAAAACTTTCACCTTAAGAATAAATGTACTTGCTTAGAAAGAGTTGTGTGGTAATGTATAACCTAGGGCAATTATTCTGTTTATAGTCTTTTAGGACACAGCAAAGTGCAGACACAGAACACTATTTAGGTCATTGGCTTGCTGGGGAACTCTGTGTAGGCAGAGAACTAGGAAATCTGTAAAAACCTTGCTAGAAGGGGGGAGAGAGTCAATCCAAGAGAGGTAATGGCTGAGGAGTCAGGAACCTAGAGCCGGTGTCCTTGCTGCATTGCACAGGGAATACAAGTTCTCTTGTGCTGACTTGTGACATAGACTGCAAAATCTGGCCATTGGAAAAGCATCTCTGAAGTAGCAATGTGGTTTGTTGATTGATTGCATGGGTGGGGTGGAAGAATGAGGGGGGAAAACAGTTGCTTGTTTCCCAGAGAATTGTTTTTCTTCTTTCTGAAGAGCAAGCTGAGGTAAAGTTTGTGTTTTGAGGCATGCTGCCACTTACTGAAGGCTATCTCTGCCTTCGATCAACTTTAGGTGCTGTTCAGGAACCACACTTCCTGTACTCCAGTAGGCAGTAAAATGACAAGAACTGCTGAGTATTATATTGACTTTTGCTGCCACAACCGACATGGATATGCCCTATGAAAAACCCTTTACTCAGTGATTGCCAGCATCTCTTGTTCCACCACAGGAGGCATAAGGCCATGTTTCCTAAACTGTGCATACAGGCAAGTGTAACATACTTATTATATAGATATATACATGCTATACAGCTAATTCGTATTTTGCAAATTAGTTTGCTAATGAAGTTTAAATAGCTATTCTGTCTGCAATGAGAGAGTTGTGTATGGATGAAATAATTGCTATTCCCATTGGACATTCAAGGAACTGTGATGTAATGTCTTATTCAATCAGTGGGCGAAGAAACAAAAATACCTCGGTCTTTTAGCTCTACTGTTCCATGATGTTCCGTCATAACAGATTGTTTTGTGGAAGGTGAAAATAGCCTTACTTTATTTGTGAAAATGACCTTTATACAGTTTGTTTCATCATAACACGCCCGTTTACTAGTGAGAAACCCCAGGGGCTCATTCTGTGTACTTACAAGGGTTTAAAAAAATAATGGGAACCATAAGAAAAAGGCTTCTTAATTCTTTGGCAAACCCTTCATTTACATTTCTTGGCTCTGCAGTCCAGAACTCCAAAACTGAAGAAAATAAACCTTCGACCTTACAGTAAAGTTAACCTATGTGAGAACTTAAGTGTTTCACAACAGCCCCAGAAGATGGATAGTGAAATAGATCAAAAGGGAGGTTAGTGGCTTGTTTTTCAGAGGTGACAATGAAATATGGTGGCTTACGATATATGGAAATGATTTTCTTCAGTGACAGGATCCAACAGCTAAGCAGCTTGCTATTTTTCCCCAACAAAAGCTTTTCTGCTTTAGCTCAAGCGGTACAGGCTTGTCCTCCTTAAGCCATAGGTTTAATCCTCATTGTCAGCTGTTTCTGTGGTCACATTTCATTACCCTGGGTCCCTTTCGGGTCCCATTGATTTCACCTCTGAAAATCAGTCCACAAATGATTTAGTCTCTGATCACAGAACTCAAATTTCTTGACTGCTGGTCTCTAATTAGTCACAAGCATATATCACCTGGAAAAGCAAAAAGCACTTTGTATTGCTTTGGCTTAGGCAAACAGAGCTTTTAAATCTCTTAAGGATGCTCTCTGTTGTAACTGTCCTCATTTTTAATATATTTTATTTTAAGGAGAGAGAACGGTTTTATAAAATATTATATAACTTATTGAAATGTTTTAATCAATGATGTGTCAGTGAAACCAGATTGTCCTCGACTCCATCATCACCTACTTGATTTAAATAAAGTCTCCAGAAACATTTGAAACCCATGCAAGGTTGTGAAACTCAAAGAAATAGAAACTGAATTGGTTGCATTGTTCAGACTGAATGAAGTTCAAACATAAACCAATGCCAGTAAGGATGAAAATTAAATTGAAATTGTTTCCAAAATTTCAATTTTATATAATCTAAAGCACAGGTAACTAGAAGAGGACATGGTTCTTATAAATAAGTATCAAAAAGTCTCACACTGTCCCTTTAATTTTAAAAATATCAAGTACCTACAGCCAAAAGAAGCCACTAAGTATCTGCTGTGCTGCGAGAATGGGTGTTAGAAAAGTGGACTGATGCAGTGAAAATGATTAAATACTTCTCCTGGTCTTTGCTGTAGGGTTGTTTTAAAGGTGGGGTGGGGAGTGAGGAAGATGTTGGAGGGTAAAGAAGATTTCTCCCTCTTTTAGAACAGTCCAAATACCACTAGTCTTGTTTACAATGGGTGCTAGAGGGTAGACTGGGGCTCTGTCAAGACCGGTGTGGGCAACAATTTTTTGCCAGGGACAACTTGAGAAATTTTTGAAGTGGTGCCAGGCTGCACTGGAAGGGGCAGGGCCTCAAAAGGAAGGGGTGAGGCCAGGATGCTTTGGGCTTCTCCGCCCCCAGACCATAATTGGTCTGGGGGTGGGGGAGCCTCTTTGCTCCCCCTTCTCACTAAGCACCCATGCCCTTGGTGGTGGGAAGAGACGTCCCGTGCTCCCCCACCCCCAGGCCAATCAGGGCCTGGGGAGCATGTGAAGCCTCCTCCCGCCCTGCCAGGAGTGTGCTCCTGGCAGGGTGGAGGAAAGTTCATTGCACACTTCCCCTGCCCCCAGGCCCTAATTGGCCTGGGGACAGGGGAACAGCAGGACCTCAGCCTCTGCAGGCCAGATCAACCCACTTAGCAGGCTGGATCCATCCCACCGAGACCCTTTTACCCACCCCGGTCTAGACTATGGAGTTTTTCCAGGATACCAGAAATATCCTGGAAAAACTCCCCACGTTCAGGGAATGCATCTGCTCTTCCAACATTTTTTTGCGGAAGAGCAGACAGGCTCTTTTGGAAGCCCTGTTTTCTTCATTTTATGAGAAATGAGGGCTCTTCTGAAAGAGGAGGTTTTTCTGAAATTTGTCCCTATGTAGACGGGCCAAATTTCGCAATAGCCTCTTCCGAAAAAACAATCGGAGAAAGATATGCGAAGTGCGGCGTGCAATTTGCATACCTTTTTCTGAAAAAAAGTGGCAGTCTAGACGTAGCCTGGGACCATTGCCTAGCCTATCCAGCTGGAGGAGGACCCCTCACAAATGTCTGGTGCAGCTGAGTTCACGCAACATGTGCTGCTGAAGAGCTTCGTTTCCCATGTCTTGTATTCTACCATGTGCCTCCAGGAATTGTGTTCTCTGGCCTGTGCCCACTAACTCCTCTCACATAAAAGGTCACATGCAAAAGAGGGTGGGAAATGACCCACAGGTCTCAGATATTTTACTGCAGTGGTAGCCTCGCATTGGGGCTGCCAGCATTGTAGAGAAAGAAGAGGGCATAGTCAGCAAGATTCTTATTGGGCTACTCTGTGGGAAAACTAATAGCAGTTAAGACCTTTGCCTCACACTCTACTGCAGCATTCCTCTCTCTTATCACAGCACTCTGCCCTGGTATGCTGGTACTGGCTGGCTCTGTCACCTTTCTCGGTGGGAGTCAGAATACCCAATAGTAAATTACAGTCCTCTGTACAGAGACCGTACTGCACTGACTGGAGAGTCACTGACTGGAGAGTCCCTAACTTACCAATCATCCCTCC